TCACACAGCTCACAGCAACCTCCAACTCCTAGGCTTAGGCGATTCCCTTGGCTCAGCCTCCTGGGTAGCTGGGACTATAGGCGCCTGCCACAATGCCTGGCTATTTTTTTGTTGCAGTTTGGCCAGGGCTGGGTTTGAAACCGCCATCACTGGTACTTAGAGCCAGCACACTACCCCCTGAGCCACAGGCGCTGCCGCACCCAGCTATTTTTAGATTGTAGTTATCGTTGTTTGGCAGGCCTGGGCTAGATTCGAACCCACCAGCTCCACTGTATGTGGTTGGCATCCAGGCCCTGAGCTACTGTGCTACGGGCACTGAGCTCAATTTCTCAACTTTTTTCTTTTTTTTGAAACAGTACCTCAAACTTGTGCCCTGGGTGAAGTGCCATGTTATCACAGCTCACAGTAACCTACAACTCCTGGGCTTAAGTGATTCTCTTCCCTCAGCCTCCCAAGTAGCTGGGACTAAAGGCACCGCCGCAAACCCAGCTATTTTTTGTTGTAGTTGTTATTGTTGTTTGACAGGCCCAGGTTGGATTTGAACCTGCCAGCTCTGGTATATGTGGCTGGAGCCTTAGCCACTTGAGCTACAGGCGCCAAGCCCTAATTTCTCAACTTTAATATAGTTAAAGGTATCTATTCTGTACATTTCTGACATATACTACGTCACTGGGGAGTTGCAGTATTCCTAATCATATATTAAATTCTCTCTTGTTACAAAATCACTCTTAAAAACTTTTCTGAGACAGTTCCTCACTCTGTCACCCTGGGGTTGAGTTCAGAGGCATTGTAGATCGCAGCAATGTCAAACTCTTGGGTACAAGTGATCCTCTCTTTTCAGCCTCCTCAGTAGGTGGGATTAGAGATACCTGCCACAGTGCCTGGCTAGTTTTTTTATTTTTAGTAGAGAAGAGGTCTTAATTTTTCTCAGGCTGGTCTTGAATGCCTGAGCTCAAGTGATCCACCTGCCTTGGCCTCCTAAAGTGATTAAGATTACAGATATGGGCCACCATGCCTGTCATAAATAACCCTGGTTTTATAACTATCTTTTGCTTAGGTTATGCTTATCAGGACTATATTATGCACACACACACAGAAACACAGTAGACCTTGGTAAGCTGACCACTCAAGGGATTGTAAAAATCTTGTCAACACACATAGGTGGTTAGCATAAGGAACTTTGCCTAGTGTACTGATACGTACATGTGGTGCATGCTCACTCTATTTACATTGGTAAACTTGAGGAGGTGGTCAATTAGAGGTTCTAGTGTCTGTATATATGTCTACACACACAAATAGATATATAAACATATATACGCACAAAAAGTGCCAAGGTTTTCAGGCCTGTCTCCATTGTCATGAGTGAGCATCTCCCTTCAGGGCTCTGGATGGGTAGGATCACTCCCAGATCAAGGCTGGGAGAAGTTGGAGATGCCCACATAATCACTTCAGAATTCTCAGTGGGGATTGGTGTCCATAGGCCAGTGTTTATGGAGCTGGCCATACACACACCGAGGCTGGCGAGTTTGAACCCAGCCCAGGCCACCTAAACAACAGCGACAACTGCAACAAAAAAATAGTCGGACATTGTGGTGGGCACCTGTAGTTCTAGCTACTTGGGAACTGGGACAAGAGAATCCCTGAAGCCCAAGAGTTGTAGGTTACTGTGAGCTGTGATGCTGCAGTACTCTACAAAGGGCAACATAGTGAGACTCCGTCCCCCCAAAAAAATTCTCAGTGGGAGAATTTTATTTTAGTGTTCATTCTGAATATGATGTATGATATTTCATTGTGATTTTGCTTTGCATTTCTTCAATAGTTACAAATTTTGATCACCCTTTCTAATGCTTGTTGGAGATTTATGTATCTTCTTTGAGAAATGTCAGTTCAATCCTTTGTTACTTTTTCTTTGTCTCTTATAAAAAAAAAATACAAGAAGAGTCTCACTTTGTCACCCATGGTAGAGTGCTGTAGCATCAACCATCAGCTCTTGGGCTTAGGCGATTTTCTTGCCTCAGCCTCTGGAGTAGCTGGGACTACAGGTATCTGCCACAATGCTTGGTTATTTTTTGTTGTGGTGGTTGTTGTTGTTTTTGTTGCGGTTTGGCTGAGGCCAGGTTGAAATTCACCACCCTTGGTATTTGGGGCCAGCGCCCTACTCAGTGAGCCGCAGATATTGGCCTTTCTTTTTTTGAGACTGTGTCTCACTGTTGCCCTTGTTCGAGTATTTGTCATCATAGTTCACAGCAACCTCAAACTCCTGGGCTGAAGCGAATATCTTGCCTCAGCTTCCCAAGCACCTGGAACTACAAGCGCCTGCAACAACATCCAGCCATTTTTTAGAGAGAAGGTCTCACTTCTTGCTCAGGCTCTTCACAAACTCTTCTGGCCTGATCCTCCAGCCTCATCCTTCAAGAGTGCTAGGATTACAGCCCTGACACACCATGGCCAGCCTTCTTTTGCTACTTTTGACAAGAGAGTTCTGTCATGTTTGTTAGGTCTAAGTAATACACAATGTTCAAGTTTTCTGTTATCTTAT